AAAATACTGTGAACAAACTCTATGTTAACAAGTTGGACAACATGGGTAATATGGACAAATTTCTAGAAAAATACAATCTTCTAAAAATGAATTAAAAAGAATCAGAAACCTGAATAGGCCAATAACAACTGAAATTGAAGCAGTTATTTAAAAAACAACAACCCAGCAAACAAAATCCCTGGTCTGGACAGCTTCTCCAGGGGGGTATTACCAAGCATTCAAGGAAGAACTAATACATATCCTTAAACTTTTCATAAAATCCCAAGAGCAAGGAACACTTCTATGCTCTTTTTATGAGGCCAGCATGATCCTAATGCCAAAGCCAGGTAAAGACACTACAAAGAAAGAGAATTATAGCTCAATATCCTTGATGAACATAGATGCTAAAATCCTCAACAAAATATTAGTAAATTGGATCCAGCAGTATATTTCAACGGTCATACACCATGACCCAGTGGGAGTCATTCAAGCAATGCAAGGCTTGTACAATATTCACAAATCAATAAATATGATACATCACATAAATTGAAAGACAAAAATCACATGATCATATCAAAAGATGCAGAAAAAGCATTGAACAAAATCCAACACTCCTTTTTGATTAAAACTCTCTGCAAAGTGGGAATAGAGTAATCATACCTCACCATAATAAAAAGCCCATTGTATGGGTGATCATATTTGGCAGTGATACATCTGATAAAGTGTTAATATTCAAAATATATTAGAAGCTCATACAAAGTAATAAAAGGAAGACAAACAATCCAATTAAAAAATGGGCAAAGTACCTAAATAGACACTTATGCAAAGTGGACATACAGATGGACAAGAGAAATATGAAAAAATGTCCAAAGTCAGAGAGATGCAAATAAAAACGACAATAGGTTATTACCTCACACCTTTTAGAATGGCTACCATTAAGAAATCTACAAATGACAAGTGCTGGTGAGGATATGGAGAAAAGGGAACCCTAGTACACTGCTGGTGGGAATGCAGACTGGTGTAGCCATTATAGAAAACAATATGGAGATTCCTAAAAAAATCAAATATGGAACTCCCACTTGACCCAGTGATCTCACTTCTTGGAATATATCCTAGGAATCCTCAAATACCAATCAAATAGAATATATGTATCCCTATCTTCATAGCAGAGCAATTTACAATAACTAAGATCTAGAATCAGTCCAAGTGCTTATCAGCAGATGAATGGATAAAAAAAGATGTACATTTACACCATGGAGTACAATGCAGCAGTAAAAAAGAAGGACCTCTTACCTTTTGAGACAGCATGGAGGGCCCTGGGGAGTATTATGCTAATTGAAATAAGCCAGTCAGTGAAAGACAAGTGTCACATGATTACATTTATATGTGGAATCTAATGAACAAAATAAACAGTTGAACAAAATAGATCTAGAGACATAGGAGCATGGAACACACTGTGGAATCTAAGAGGGAAGATGGGGTGGGTCAGAAGAGATTAACTTAAGAACTGGGATGCATATATGCATAATCCATGGATACAAACTATAGTATGATGAAGACCTGGGACAGGGGTCAGGCGTGGGCTGGATGGGGTCAATGCAGATAAAAAGGAGACATATGTGATACTTTGAACAGTTAAAATTTTTAAAAGTCAATGTCATCCCAGTAAACAGAACTAAAATATTAAAATTAAAAAAAAAAAACACGATTGCTTTCTGTTTGGGGTCTTCTGTGATTTTATGTAAATTTTAGGTTTTCTTCTAGTTCTGGAAACAATATCATTGGAATCAGGTAGTGATTGCATTGAGTCATTAGATTGCTTTGGGTAGTATGTACATTTTAATATTGATGTTTCCAATACATGAACATTATTTCCTTCCATTTATTTGTGTCCCTCTTTAATTTATTTTTTCAATATCTTAGAGTTTTCAGAGTATATGTTTTTCACCTCACTGAATAAATTTATTCCTAGTTAGTTTGTTCTTTTTGATACAATTACATATGACATCCTTTTCTTAATTTCTCTTTTTGATCATTGGCTATTAGTGTGCAGAAATGTGAGAGATTTCTGTGTGTTTTCCTTGGTGAATTGATGTATGACAAATGAGAGATTATACAATGGGGAAATGATAGTCTCTGTAAAAGCATAGTTGGGAAAACGGGACCAGATCCATGCCAAAAAATGAAACTGGACAAATTAAACCATATCCTATATAATAAAAGCCTAGGTGGCGTCGTGGGACATCGTCACAAGATGGCCACCGCGATGTTGTCACAAGATAGCCACCACAAGATGGCCAGCAGGGGAGGACAGTTGTGGGCGAGATCAGGCTGGCAGGGGAGGGCAGTTAGGGGCGACCAAGCCTTCAGGGCAGGGCAGTTAGGGTTGACCGGGCCTGCAGGTGAAGGCAGTTGGGGTCCCAGATTGGAGAGGGTGCAGGCCGGGCTCAGCCCTCCCCCACCAACCTCTGTGCACGAATTTCGTGCACTGGGCCTCCAGTACAAAAATAAAGTCAAAATTAATTAAAGTCTTAAATGTAACATCTGAAACCTTAAAACTCCTAGAAGAAAACATAAGCACTGAGTTCTCTGAAATTTGTCTTAGCAATCAGTATCTTTTTCTATATGTCTCCTTGGGGAAGGCCAATAAAAGCAAAAACAAACAAATGGCTCTACATCAAACTAAAAAGCTTCTACAGGGAGAAAGAAGTTATCAGCAAAACGCAGAGATAGCCTAGTGCAGTGGTTGGCAAACTGTGGCTTGTGAGCCACATGCAGCTCTTTGGCCCCTTGAGTGTGGCTCTTCCACAAAATACCACGTGCAGGCGTGCACGTACAGTGCGATTTAAACTTTGTGGCCCATATGCAGAAGTTGGTATTTTGTGGAAGAGCCACACTCAAGGGGCTAAAGAGCTGCATGTGGCTTGCAAGCCGCAGTTTGCCGACCACTGGCCTAGTGAATGGGAGAAGAGATTTGCTATTGATATATTGGAGAAGACCTTAATATTCAAAATATATAAAGAACTCATGCATCTCAACTTAAAAAACAAACAGTTCTATTTAAAAATGGGCAGAGGAGCCCTAGCCAGTTTGGCTCAGTGGATTAAGCGTTGGCCTGCTGACTGAAAGGTCCTGGATTCGATTCCAGTCAAGGGCATGTACTTTGGTTGCGGCCTTGATCTCTCGCCTTGATTGGGGATATGGGGGATGCAACCAATCGATTTGTCTCACATCGATGTTTCTCTCTATCTTGCTTCTACTTTCTCTAAGAAGCAATGGAAAAAAATCCTCCGGTGAGGATTAAGAAAAAAAAAGGGCAGAGGACATGGATAAACATTTCTCCTAAGGCAATTTAATTGCCAGCAGACATATAAAAAGATAACACTAAGCATCAGGGAAATGCAAATAAAAACCACTTATCCCCTCAGACCTTTAAAAATATATCTTATCAAAAAGTCAATAAACAGCAAGTGATATAAGGATATGGAGAAAAGGGAACACGTGCACTTTTCGTGGCATTGTTTTTATAAAATATATATATTTTTATCGATTTCAGAGAGGAAGGGAGAGGGAGAGAGAGAGATAGAAACATCATTGATAAGAAAGAATCATTGATTGGCTGCCTTCTGCACACTCCATTGTGGTGATCAAGCCCGCCAACCACATGTGCTCAGACTGGGAATCGAATTGTGACTTCCTGGTTCATAGTTCGACACTCAACCACTGAGCCATGCTGGCCAGGCAGTGGCATTATTAATTGGTACAGAAACTATGGAAAACAGTATGCAGGGTCCTCAAAATTTAAAAATACAACTACTATATGATCCAGCAATTCCACTTTCTGGTATTTCTTTTAAGAAAACAAAATTACTAATTTGAAAATATACATGCACCCCTATATTCATTGCAGCATTGTTTACAATAGCCATGATATGGAAACATCCTAGGTGTGGAATCAATAGATGAATTGAGAAAGAAGATATTTACACACACACATTCATATGTACCTACATACATACCTACCATGGAAAATTACTTAGCAATAAAAAAACGAAATCTTGCCATTTGTGACAGCATGGATGGACCTTAGAGGATATTATGCTAAGTAAAAAAAGTCGGACAGAAAAAGATGAATACCATATGATTTTACTTACGTGGAATCTAAAAAAAAACAAGTGAACAAACAGAAATGGAATGATATTTTCAGTGAACAAACTCATGGTTGCCAGATGGGAGTTGGTTGAGGGGGGCGCATTCATGAAAAAGGTTTAGGAATTAAGATCTAGAAATTGCCAGTTATAAAAATCATCACAGGGATGTAAATACATAATAGGAAATAGAGTCAATAATATTGTAGTAATTGTGTATGTTGTCAGATAGGTACTAGACTTATCAGGATCACTTAGTAAGTTATGTAAATGTTTAATAACTATGTTGTACACCTGAAACTAATACTATTATATGTTCACTGCAATTGAAAAATGAAATTATTATTAAAAAATAACAATAAAACAAGAGTTTGTAATCTAGGGTCCAGTGGATAGAATTTAGGGGTATATGAACCTGAATAAGAAAAATTCCTTTTTCATTTTCACTACCCTCCAACAAAAGTGTAGCATTTTTTCCAGTTTCAAAGGTATGCAGCAAACCACAGTAGTAGTATTGATAACTGACTTTGTTACCAATATAAATCATATATTTCTGTATATTAATGATATCTCAAAATTATTTACCATTAACAATACTTCAAATTTTCATGTAATTATTGGACTTGCTGCTATATTTTTTATTTAATGCATTAATAAATTACACATATTACGATATCACTTTTTTAGTATTTTTATAATTTCTATATAATGGATTTCTTTTTCAATTCTATTTATTTTATGTAATTGAAAACATTATTGTAAGCACTGCCAAAGGAGTTCATAGAATAGATTATTAAAACCTCTGTTTTAGAAACACCTAGGTTGAAATAGATCTTCTTATGTCTTAACATTAACTATTTTTCTTTTGATCAGGTGTAGGTAATAGCAGTGAAGGTGGAAGAGGAAAAGCAGGTGCAAAACTTTTCCAAGATTTTCAGATGTTAAGTAGAATCTGGACTCATCCTTGGTGTTTACAGCTGGACTACATTAGCAAAGAAAATAAGGTAAGTCAAGTAACCTAAGATTTATTAAAAGGTATCTGTTGGAAGCAGAATAACTTTAGGAAAAAGGTTGATGTATGTACACTTACTGTATATTTGAATTTTCTTTTGATTTGTGGTATAATAATTCATGTATTTTATTTCTAGTTAATTTCCGTTTGAATGCATTATGATTATAACATGAATATTAAATGTTAATCTTAACATTTCTCATAATCATAGCAAAGTGATCAAAAGTAAGAAATTAACATTATTAACTGAACAACAGAATTCAATTGGATTTTCGTAGTTTTTGTACTTTTTCTTTTTTATGATCAAGCTAAGACCTCACATTGCATTTAATAGTCATATCTGTCATGTCTCCTTTATTTTTCTAATTCGTGATAGATCTTTAGTTCTTCCTTATCTCATGACAATTGACTTATTCTTAAGAAATAAATGAACAATATTATAATTTCCAGTATAAGTTGAAATAAACTATTAAAACATTCATCTTTTTTTCCCTAGGGATATTTTGATGAAGACAGCATGGATGAATTTATAGCTTCAGATTCTGATGAAACCTCCATGAGTTTAAGCTCCGATGATTATGCAAAGTAAATTGAATACTTTTGTGCCTTGTGTTGACATATTAAAACTCCCTATTTATTGATTGTTCTCATAATTGGCACTTATATGTTTACTATACTTTTCTATTTGTTTGAATTTGTTCTTTTTCAGAAAGAAGAAAACAAAAGGGAAAAAGGGGAAAAAAGATAGTAGCTCAAGTGGAAGTGGCAGTGACAATGATGTTGAAGTCATTAAAGTGTGGAATTCAAGATCTCGAGGAGGTGGTGAAGGAAATGTGGATGAAACAGGAAACAATCCCTCGGTTTCTATAAAGACGGAAGAAAGTAAGTCTAATGAATGTTGTCTTTATCCTTGAACATTGTTTAGAAATATGTCATTATCATGTCAGTCCTTTTTTTCAATTATTAATCATCCTCTCTTGTTGGCCAGAGGCATATCCTTTCTCAATTGGTAAGCATGCAGAATAATCATGGAACACATAATAATAATAAATATCTGATAACTCATTAAAAAAAAGCAAGCCTTGTGCTCTCTCTTGTATTTCATAGGAAAGAAAAAGTAATGTTTATTTACATGTATAAATGTAAACTCTGTATTACTTTTACTTCATATGTTAGCTTACTTCTTGAGCAGTCTTGCAATGTTGTTTATATCTTTATTTTTATAAGTGATTGGTAGAAGTTGGATTCTGACCTAGATACATTCAATCTCAAAACTATCATGGTAATTTCTCTTAACTATGTATAAATAACTGAAAGAATTTCAAGGAATCAAGTATCATTATAATTGATTTTATATAGTGAAATTATTTTTAATGGTTTAGTCTTTTTCCTTTGTAACTCTTAAAAATTTATAATTGTCTAGGTTTCCTCTGTGTCATGTACAGTTTGTGTCACCTCTTTTACTTTTTTTCTCTTGTGCATGAGTATACACACAGTGAAGGTTTTGACTGAACTCCCAAAGGCTTGAGTTGTCTTTACCTGTTACCTATATTTAAAGAATTAGTATTGAGGCTCCATATTCTCCTGGTACAGCCTCACTGGATGTCTGGTCTAAAACTGGGACCAAATATCTGAATATTTGAAATATCAAATATTTAAAGACAAAACAGTGTAAATAGCTCTAAATAGTTGGCATTTGGAAGTCATGAAGAAAGCTGTTGACTATGAACTGAAGAGAGATATAGGTGCTAACTAGGTGAATGATCCTGTACTCAAACACGCTTGGCTGGTCTTAGGCGTGCAGATGAACTTATTTGGTGATTCCTTGATAAACATTTCTCTCTTCAGTAGTACCTCCTTCGAATAGATAGATGGCAGCCTAACCACAGCCTCTGTCTTCTCTAAGAAATCAGGGAAATAGTAAAAATTAAACTACAAAATTTCCCTCCTTGTTTTTTTCTCTCTTGTTATTCCATAAAGGCAGTTTGTTATCAGCATTCAACTTCCAATTACATTTAAAGAATATTTTTCTAAGAATACTAAAGGAAGGTTTATAGTTTAATTTAAGGAAATAGGAAGCTCCTGTTATATCTTCCTTTGCTCTCCCAGTCTGCCTTTTCACTTAAAATCATCTGCAGTCTCTCATCTCACAATTATAAATGAACTAGTAGCCTGGTGCACGGAATTCATGCACATTGAAAGGGAATTAATTAGAGGAACGTAATTTGGACTCACTATCTAATATCAATAATATGTGAGCGTGAGGCACTCGGCATTTCTGAAATTCAATGACATGAATTTTAGCTATTACCTTGCCAAATAAATGGAATTTACAGATACCATTTAAAAGAGCATTCAGCTTAATATTAAAAACTCTGGCTACCAAGTCAGGTCTGTTTTCAACTTTTTGCCAGTGTTGTAAATTGTTTGCAATATCTGCCCATTTGAGATTGCATGTCATGGTTACGAATAT